AGCAAATGACGTGCTGACTGCCAGTTGAAACTGGAATTTCCAACATGACGATTGCACGTCCACTGCCCATTCCATGTGGCATTCACCTTTTTCCCGACCACAAAACGCAGTTTAAATGGAAAGCATGCCATCTACCTCAACTCTATATATGACATTTCATGCCAAAATGCAGACAATTGTCAATTGTAACAACTACACCCCTTTTTCCACATGCTCAGTTGGGTTCTCTTGCTTTTTTTCTACAGCTTTTTTATAAATGCACTGGGAATAATAATGATAATATGATATCAAACGTAAGAATAGATTGAAAGTTATCAAATTTATTTTGTTGATTTTGATAAGATATAAAATCTAAATATTATCATTTTAAGAGTGTTATTTCCTAATTAAAAAATGTATACATTTATCCTTAAGATACTTTATCTCGTAATATTAATATTCAGATAAAAGTAAGCATGTTTAACCCAGTTATAGTAGTTTTATCTGGATCAGGCACGTTTAATATTATCTGATTATATTTCTTTATCAAGATATAAATCCTTCCCAAGCTAACAACTTTCGTTCCATCCAAACATCTGTTTTCGCGGTGTACGTATTCGTAAGGCCCGGAGACCAGACCACATGCTAAACGAATGTTGACAAACAATTATTATTTTATTATTATTTGTTTGTCTGTTGTCTGAAAGTGCCCTCTCAGCACCTCTCCCTATCGCTATCCCTGTGTAGCTGCTGCTGCTCTGGCTCAGAACGTCTATCTATCAGTCTGACAGTTAGTTTGCACGACTTTCACAGATACCCACACTCGCATTTCGAATCGCTCACACAGATACTTTTTACACTCACATGTCAGTTGTCGTCAGACCGTCTGCCTGGTATTTTTTTCACCGCCTCCCCGCGTTTGTTTACTTTGTCTAACTGCTATTTGTAAAACTATTCATGTTCTGTTGTTGATTATTTTATTATTATTTCTTTTTCCAGTCCCTGTTTGAGCAGAAATCTTCACATGCAACATTTTTTCGACCTAAAATTAACTAAAACAAACACAGAAAGTGCTGAGTGGGCGGGAAGCGGGGGGTATCAACAAAGTTTTGACAGTCGAAAATCAAGCGCTAAAATATTTGCCACATTTTTTTTGGCCGTTTGTAATTGTGGCGAAATATTTAATGAAGTTCTCTGAGCTGTCAGCCTGATTGCATTGGATTAAATGGCTGTCAGTTGGTTGACAAGCTGGAAAGAGAGTTTAGTATTTTGCAGAATATAGTGTTAAAGAGGATTTTGTATGGTACCCACCCAAAAAAGTAGAATAAAATAATACCCCACAATCAAAACATTAATACAAATGTTTTATAATATAAATAATATTCTATTAATTTTAATAACAAACCAAATAACATTTCTAGCCCCAAAACCAAGTCGCATAAAAATGTACCTTTCGGATCGAACTACAAAATCTTCCCTCATTTAGATGCGTGGCACACAGAACCCGCTAACTGTATCTTCCATATCTGATCCATATTTCCCAAAGAATTTTCTCCGTATCTGCGAGAACATTTCTATGCCCTGGCACACAGTTTTCCAGCTGAAGCATCACTAATAACTTAATTCGATTCGAGGAAATGGGCAGCCAGTATTCTCATTCACATTGGGGCGTATCTAAACACAGAAATCTAAAGCTTAATGGCTCATTAAAGCGAGAAGAGCTGAGCGGGCGGCCTCGGATGCGTTTTTCCCCTTCTTTTGATTACGAATTTATTGTGGGTAATATGAATAAAAATGAAAATTCAAATGCGAGTGTAGCTGTGAGGCTGCTAATTATGCATGCCGCATATATGCGTTTGCATTAGAAAAACGGCAGCAACAGGCTGCTTATGCAATCCAATGCAATGCAAACCGACAAGGAGGAAAATAAAAAAATAAAATACAAAACAACAGCGAAAAAATTATAATAATAATGCAGCGGCAACAAAATCATGAAGGGGAGGCAGGAAAATAAAGATACAAATAAAAAAAGAGATACAAATACGAGAGCGTTGCAATAATGGCAAACGAACCGAGGCACGCTGTTGGCCTACGAAATGAGCATTTCACATCGTGTGAATTTTAATTAAAGCACCACCACCACCGCCAACAGCGGAAAAAGTTAGACGCACTAAGTCAGCGAGCTTACTGCTTAATTAAATGCAACATATGCCGCTAATTAAATTTATGTGCCCGTCGCAAACTTTGATTATCAAAAATTATTTATGCAAAATCTCTGACAGGAAATACCTGCAACTGGCAACTGGCAACTGCCAACGAGCAACTAGCAACCTGCAACCAGCAACCTGCAACAGGCGATGCATGGCCTGATAAGCCCAACAGCAACATGAGCAACATAAACAACAGCAACTGCAACAGTAGCAAAAAAGCCAGGCTTAATTTAATTGTACATAGTTTTTGGTTGCATTGTTAATTATGCTGCAGTGTTGTGGTTGCTTTGATTTAATGAGCAAGTGCCTGTTAATTTATTGAGAGGGCCAATCAACTGATAATCCCAATTAAAAGGGGAGTCACCTATTGATTTTTGCGTAAAGAAGATAAATAAATCTGCAATTTATGCGTGATAGGCGGATACAAATTAAATTAGTAGTAATTATTTATAAAGTGTGGTGCATGTGTATCTCAAAATTGAATTTATAAAATTTTAGATACATGTATTCTGCATAAACCTATATACAAGGGTATAGTGTAGTGGTCTCTTCCTTTCTAATTTCGATCGATTGGAATTTGTATCGATAATGCTATTACTCAATTCCTGAATGAACTGCAATGACACTTTCTATGAATGACAACAACTTTCTGTGCGATTTGCATTTGTGCAATGCATCAGCTGTACTATTTATACGCAGATATATCTAAAAGTATATGTATAAACCCGAGGTGTTGGTATAAACAATGTGTGGCAAACACTTGCACTATGCGCATAATCGACCAGCGAAACCTTACATATTTATTTATTGTGCCAAGGCGACTAACTCGCCGGCAAAAGCGAGGAAACTATGGATATATAGAGATACATACTGAGTCACCCTGATGAAAATGGACTTCAAGTGATGGGCCCCGTCTATTTTTCCTATCTCTCTCTCGCTGTTGGAATTTAATTCATTAAATTAAAATTAATGTTTATTTACGCGCCATTTTACAGCATGCCAGCAGGCTGGCCAAAAGTATTGCCAACCGAGCATAAATTAAAATATATTACGAGCAGAAACGGCAACTTCAACTTGTTTAAAATTAGCCACTGCAAAATGCAACAACATCATTATGATCACGATTTTCCCTCGTAATTTAATTAGTTAGCTGAGGCCAGAAATTCGATATTGTTGATGGCTTTGCATCTGACACTTGATTGACAGCATCTGGCGAAAAAAAAACAAAAAATTAATGCCTAATGGAGTCCACAGATTTGTTTAAGCCAAACGGGTTTATTCTGTAAAATGCTGGGAAAATCGTTGTATGCTCAAAAAGCCTGATAAGAGATCTACAAGTAAGTCAATATTTTTAATACACCAGGTACTATAATTAAGCGATTGTGCCGCGGTGATTGGAAAATTAAAAACGTTTTAACAGCGATTTCGCAGAGATAAGATAGTCTCAGTAAAAATAAACTAAAGCGAGCTAAACAAATGTGTAACAAGCGCGGCAACAAAACAAACAAAATTATTACAAAAAACCCCGCGAGGGAGATGGGCATGATAGACCAGACTAGACTATACTAGACCAAAGACAGCTGTTTTGTCATTAGAAATGCCAATTGCACGTAATACGTCAAAGGTTTTGTGAAATTATTTTTAATGAAATGTTGTGTCATTAGGCAAAAGAGGGGCGCGTCTGGTCAGCGATTAGCTTTCCCTTTGTTGGTTCTGTTAATTTAGCTGAAAGTCCATTAAACGTTATAGTTCTTATGGCCGATGGTACTATTAACGTAATTGTTTATAAGGCACTCGGGGACCTCGGCTTTACACCTTATGGCTTGTGGCCGAAAGGTAGAGGAGCCACATCAATAGCCGTAATTATTATGATGTGTGACATGCAGCCTGCACGGCCGGCAGTCATTATCATTATGTTCAGGGACAGTGAACTGTCCTTGATGATGATGGGGCAACCTGATTTGGCCTCCAGTGAGAAGTTGAGAACAACCAAAGTATCTCGCTGGGGTTCGGTCTTTAAGCTTAAAGTACATGGATTTTTGAAAATGTTCTAACGATTTGACAACTTTTTCTAAAAATAATTGGTAAACCGGAAAAGCTTTATGAATGGTATCTACCTGCCTAATTTCAAGCTATTATCAATGAATGCCATATTGGATACGAAAAATTATAGTGTTTCGTATATTAGCCAATAAAAATATTTTTATAGATTTTCCTTGGCTAAAATCTTATAAGGCTACCATTACAGCACATTTACAAGGCTAATAAAATCACCAATAAAAACTTTACAATGAAAAAGTTTTTCGATCTTAAGTTTGAGTCTATTCCATCTTTTATTGCATAAAATTCCAATAGGCAGGGCATCATAATGGAGGCTCCATAAAAGTTTAGGGAACTATTGCATCGGTGGGTTAGTTTTATGGTGGCTTTCCACAAGTGGAGGCGTATCTCTTCACTGCGTAGTTACAGGTTCATCGACTCACAGACAAAAAATTACCAGAAACAGATACGACCTCGAACATATCGTTTGAATCACCATTTACCAGGGAATACAACCCAAGCCCTTCACTTCCTCCAACGCCACTTTGGCCACTTGTCAACGCCATCAAATGGCAAGAGGCAAAGGAGTGAGCTCACTTTATTTTTATTGCATTTTAGCAACGCTTACTTTCGAACAATCAATTCAACTCTTCCTACCCTCTAAATGCCTCACTTTACTTAAGCAAACTGATTTTTATCATCGCTGCCGTCGCGTCGTTTTATGAGCATCATCAAAAACTAATAAAAACTCAATGCGTTCTTTATTTGCAGGCAGACGGCAGTCGGCAAAGTCGTACCAGTACTCTTTTTTTTAGAGCCCCAAGCCCCGGAGAACCGAACCGAAGACCCGAAGAACTGGAGAACTCTGTGGAACCACAAAGGCAACATGTTGCACATGCACTCGCCAAAAGCAATTTGCATACAAATGTTGCCAACGCACTTCAAAAACTGCACAATCACAGGGGTTTTTTTTTTGGGGGGGGGGGAGGTTGTGCAGCGGAAAAGGGTAAAAGCCGCTTCATAATTTGATATTAAACATGCACGTGTCTCCTTCTCTTTTTCTCTCATGTGTGCAACTTGTAAATTTGCAAATTGCTAAAATGCATGACAGGATGGATAGTGGGGAGACTTTCGGGCAGCTGCGTGAATTTGCATTTACATCAAGGAACCGCAGGACAGGAAAAAGGATCTCAAAAAGTTACCCAAAATTCAGCCTCACAAGGAAACTGAATAAAAAAGCGAAGTCTGCTCAATTGACTTTCAATTGCAAAACAAACATAATACACTTGGGGAAAATGGCATATCAATACAAATTTGTTTTACAAAGACTTTTGTTTTGATTGGTTCTAAAAATAACAAGTTCTTTTAACTTTGGTCATTCGAGCCGGATTGTTAAATAATAATTATAGGTACTTTTAAAAGCTGACCAGTTTTTTTTCGAAAGACAATTTTTGTTTTAAGTTTTTATTACTGAAAATGGTTACTTTAAATACAAGTTTTTTTATAGATTCTATACTTAAAAGATTTTTCGCAGTGCTCTTTGAAGACAAAAGGCAAGCCCAAATGAATTTCATTTCAATTTTATTTTCAATCTGCTTTTCGTCCGTCATATGATTGACATGGTCGATTGAACAGGCAAACGAGTGAGGGAGTGGAACGATACACATATCGTTTATTTTTGGCAGCAAGTGTTTGCCTTCGGTTTGCAGTTTTGTTAATACTGCACTCGAAAATGCCCGAGACACCTCCTCAGCCGGGCCAAAATCGGAGGGCTCTTGAAAACGAGATCTTCGGGTCTTAATAAGCTGGCGCAAGAAAAAAAAAAGTACACACTTTTTATATCAGATTTGTACACGCAATTATATGTACTCTCATTCGGGGTATATGTGTGCCTATATAAATCATATTTATGAGACATTTCCCCTGGAGGAAATCGAGGAAAAGAAAAAGGGAAAAAGGAAAAACATGTGAATGTTAAACGGGCACGCAATGTGCGAAAGGGATGGCCAGAAAATGCGTCACTCTCCCCATTTTCCTGGCTTTTCCTTAACGAAGTAAAACAATAATCAATAAGTAATACCGGCCAACAACTGTGGGAGAAAGTCACCCCCGATATATCCATATTTCCTCCCTCTCTGTCATATGTGTTACAATTTCTGCTGCCTTTTGCCTGGGTAGTTCATAACTTTTCCCTCATGTGTGTCTGTGGTGGTTTTCTTGGTTCTTGGCCAGGACTTCGGGCGTTTGACAGCCATGTTTGTCCTTCGCACATACACACACTCACACACGATTGTAGGCGTCGCCTTGTGGCACCCCCAAAAAATACGAAAAAAATTAAGAAAAAAGAAAAGTGCTGTGGAAAAGTGTGCCACAAACTTTTGGCCCGAAAAAAAAGTTTGTCTGCTGACACAGATCTGCGTGTGAATGAGCGAGATAAGAAACATTTGCAAATTTTCCAGACTCTACCCCTTTCATTTACTCTAGCCATACACATGAAACAAACTTAAGTGACTCTTGGTAAATTACACAATATATAGGACTACATTTATTCTTGAAAACAGCTGCGGTAATTAATCACAACTCTTTAATTACAATATTTAAAATCTTTTTAAAATATGAAATTACAATAACGGGCACATAATTTTTAAAATGGTCTTAGACGACATTTTCATATTTTTTTTAAGTGCGGGCTAATTTTTCAAAAATATTTCTATCCAAAGTTGTTGTTTCAAAAATTTGTCGATTATTTGCTTGATACCAAATCACTTTCAAAAGGTTTCGTTAAGTGTAACAAACCTTTTTTTGGATTGCCAAAGAGTTACCGAAAAACAAATTTGAAAAATTTGGTTATACTTTGGGTTTGTTTTTAGTTTAGGCCCAGCTGATTTATTGTCATAAATTTCATTGAAATTCATGAGGCTCTTGGATGAACCTCAAAAACCTATAAAAAAAAGCAGGGCGTGGCCTAAATGATGTGTGTGTGTGTGTATTGCTGCGCCTACGCAATGCCCCCAAAAGATTTATTTCAATGGAACGAAGGGAAATTATAATATTTTCCAACTTCTATTATCGAAAGAGATATATAAAAGAAATAAAAAGAAATACTATTCTGTGGGGAGATTATGAAAAGAGCTGTTGATGTATGAATTGTATGGGGCTCTCATAAATCTAGGGGCCCTGTCAAGGTGTCCAATACGTTTTTCTTGGGCGTCTGTGTGTTTGTGCTCAAGTGGCAGTCATAAATTTGAAATTTATGTTCATCTCTCGTTTGGATTTCGTAGTTTTTTTCCCATTTACCAATTTTCGGTTTTGGTCAAGAGAACCTGCCACAAAGCAAAGTTCTTTCTTCGCTTGTTAATTAAATGCGATTGCATCATCGCATCTTTCAGCTGTCCATCTTCATGTTCACAATCGAGGTTGAAATAATAGTAGTACTCAAAAAAGGTTTCAACAGAAATTAATAAAAAGGTTTGGGATGGCAAAAATATTTTTTACTATACAAATTTATATAAAATAGAAGGTAAAAAATAAATTAAAAGGCAAGTTTTTTTTTTGTAACACTCCTACATTTTTTAACCTAGCTGTCTGTATCTCTATCCCATTTTTTCCAGCTATGACTGGACAGAAATTGTCGCTAATCGCTGCTCATGTACCTCAAGACATGCCGCATTTGTCTTTGTCTTTATTTTTCGGCTTTGCCGGCTTTGACACATTTTTCTTATGAATTTTCTGTATTTTTCCCCTCTCACTAATTTTTTGTGGCGTGTTTGTTCTGACCGCCAAAATTGCTTGTCCAACATTTGTTGGACATGTTTTTTTACTTTGGTTCGGTTTTTTGGGAACATACGAACTACACGCAAGTGCGGAAGATTTTTAGCCAGAGATCCGTTAAACATCAAAATCAACTCTTTCGAGCTCATTAAACAGCCAGGGAAAAAAGGTGGAATAAAGCCAAAAGTTGACCTTCAAAAACGCAACGCAACCAAGCGAAAATGGCAAAAAAAAAAAAAAAAAAAATACATAATACGAAAAATAACAAAAGTCAGAGCTGCTTGGAAACAGGTTGTTGTTTCGCTCTCTCTATTGTTAACATTTTATTACGCTTTTTTCAAGCGGAAAGCAACAAAAGCCCCGAAACTCTTGCATTTTTACGATTATTTACGATCGAAATTCATTTCACTGGCGATTTTTGACCTTGCAGTTGTTGCACTTAACACGTGCCAGAAATTGATAATGAAAGAGCGCGTTTTTAGGTGTTAATCACACTGCCGAGCTATAAAAAAAACATGCGAAAAAAGGCAGATAAAGCCAGCTAAAAAAAAACGGCCTAAAAAGGCGCCAAAAATACTTCGACGACAAAACAAAAAAACACTTACTAAAGAAGAAGTTGGTTTAAAAAAATCGAACTTTATACACCCTTACGATCCTAACAAAAATATATAACTGAATATAATGACAAGCCTTTAGTTTTAGTTTTTAAACTTCTATTAAATTTAAAACAGTTTTCAAATTTAAAAAAAAAAATACAGCAGATATATTTATTTGAAATGTATGAAAATTTAAAGTATATACCTGTAAGTTCAAAAACAACCATTTTTCAACAACTTAGTGCATTCAAAACCCAAGACCGAAAATGTATCTTTAAGATTGTTTTGAACTTCTGATAAAAAGATACATTCCTCATATACATTATATATGAAATATTTACCTGTAAATTCAAAGACAACCACTTTTCAAAAACTTAGTGCACCTAAATCCTAAGATCGAAAATGTATCTATAAGATAGTTTTGAACTTCTGATAAAAAGATACATTTCCCCACATACCTTATATAGGAAGTATGTGTTCTGATCATAAATGGACGTTTGCCGCGATGACGAAGAGTTTGCCTATTGTAGATCTTTATTTGCCATAGCTTTTGTTGCTTTTGTTGTGGGCACTTCAAAGTCGTGTGCGAGTTGTTCTTGCTGTTGTTGTTGGATATAGCTTGTTTACTTTTACGGTAAATACGAAAAACAACAACAACGACAACGAGGACTACAAAAAAGCGCGAGCTCGTCGCGCGTATCTAGATAAATATCTGTGAAAATACACTTGAGGCCAAGCTACTGTACATACGCACGGCGACTGCGACGCCGGCAGCGACGCCTACTGCAAAAGGCATAGGCACAGTGGGCGCCATAAAAGTAGTTCTCATCTAAGAAGTTTCTTTATACAAACGTGGTTTTAAAAAGGTCGTTTTTGCAGACGAATTTTTGATTTTGCTCAGTAATAGTTCTGGAAAAACAATTAAAAAGGGTTATTAGTAGAGTTCTAAAAACTACACATACATCAACGAATTAAAAATAATATTCATTTACATTTTGTTAAAAAAAACAATAGTACAAACGGTTTCTTTTGAAGTTGTTAATGGAATTTCACAACTAATCCGTTTTACTGCACTGTACTGTTCAATTTTTTTTATATACAGACATTTTTTACTGAAGTATTGTTAATCTATTTACCACCCTACAAATTATAAGAGTAAATTTACTAAACCCATTTACTATTTATTTTACAATACTCTGCAACTAAGTCTCAAATTCTTGTGAAAGCTCTCAGTTATTTGCCCTTTGCTGTTATTTTTGTTGCTGGTTCTCCAGCGAAGGCAACGACCAACAAAAACAACAAGAAAGCAGCAACAACAAGCGATGACGACGCCAAGCAAAAACAATCGTAACAGATCATCGAACTCCGTGGCTTTGTTGTTGTTGCTGGCTGGCTGCCGTTGGCCTTGAAATGCCCCTTAAAATACACATTTTTTTCCGGTGTATGCCTTTTTTGGCTCAAAAACTTTTTAATTGTTTCATTAATTAAAAGACGGTTTTTTTTTCTATTAACTTATTTTTCTCCTTTTTTTTTATGACTTTTTGGTGATATTAATTGAGTTGAAAACGCGTGCGGCGCCCACGCAGCAAGCAGCGACGTCGACGTCGGCAGAGCGGCTTTCACCGCTGCTTGCGTCATGTTGGGCTACAAAGCGACAGGGCCACAAAGCAACAGAAATATGCATTCGCTGCCTCGGTGTGTGTGTGTGCAATGCAGCCGCCACAAGTGGCAATTCACCACTGCGGAAAACCACCACCCACCTAAGAAACCCACCACGGCAGCGACGTCGACAGCGACCAACCACGAAACCGCGTGCTTTTCTGTTTTCAGTTTGCTGTTTTAGTCGCCAAGCGATTTTCAAAAACGAAGGTTGTAAAACGCGGACGAATCGCAATCGATTTTCGCTCTCTAAAAAAAAATAACGGGTATAAAAATACGAAAATTACCAGTACAACTTTCCTTAAATTTTTAAAACCCTCTGTTGATTTATTAAAAACAACCATAATAAACCATGTTTTTTGTGGCATTTCTAACAGTAAAACTTATCGGCTTATAAAAACGAAAAAA